GTTTAACGGTCCTGGGACCGTTGGCCGAGTTCCATATGGGCTTAGTGTTCTAAGTTGGAGTATTTCTAACTTCATGTGTGATCCCGTGTGTTTATATCAAATTATTATATTCATCTTATGGACTATGACTATGGAAATTTCTAAAGATTTTATAATATAAGGATATGTATTGACTTGACTATACTTGTATGTAATCTACTTGATAAAATGTTGGTTAATGTTACCAAGAGTGATGCACTCAGATGGAAGGAAATGGGCACTACCATCTTATAGGCATGAGAAGCATAAAATATCAGCTCGGGTACAGCTGCAGAGGCCACCTATTTACTCGAAATGATGAAAATATCTGCTGCACATTACCACTCGGAGACTACTCCACAACATCCTCGTGCAGCTAGAGTGTCTTAATGTTAGGTGTTCTTTGATTAGGCCATGAAGTTCTAATAAAGGGGGTTGGGTACAGGTGGGCATCCCCTCTAAGGAATAAATGGAAGGTAGGAATGGTTAGGTTTTGGAACTTGGATTCGCATGAAAGCCGGGAGGGTGCATCACTTTCTAAGAAATGCTTTGTTTAATATAAAACTGCAGGTCTAATTATGTATGTATTTGATCAGCAAATTTATTCTTTTCAGATATCTGTTGATGCCAACGTAACCTTGGTGCCTGAATTCCCTGTAAAATGGTAAGTGTGCTTTTCATATCACAGGCTAAGAATCTTGGAACTATCAAGTTTTGTAATATTTAAGTTTTTCAATTATATTGAAGTAAACTTTGTACATATTCAAAACTATGAAGTATTGATAATCCAATAAACTATGGTTTTCCCAAGAGGCTGTAAAAGCCTGCAAAAGTGTCAAGGAAAGTAACTTGACTAAGTTTGTCTGCAAATCTGATTTTGGATTGTAAAGTCTTTTGTGCCCCAGTGTATATATTGAGTACTTGTATTGATGCATCCCCCCCCCCCCTCCCGCAAGATGCATTGGTTAAATCTTGACAAGTGTTTGATAAATCTGTATTGTTAAAAAAGAGAAAAAAAAAAAAAAAAATTCCAAAGACTAAGGCTCCTGCATGGTCATCTTGGATTGGGTAGGCTTGTATTCTCTGGAGTAGACCAATTCATTCTAGTTTCCTTGATACAAACTATAAAAACCTGTTATTCACAAGTGTTTGATATGAGGAGTCAGTCCTCTTGGTCCAAGTTAAATGATGTGGAAAAGGTCTGATAATAGTAATGGTGTTGCTATGCAGTTATACAATATCAGGTTTGGGATGAGTTCATGTCGGCTTTCTTTTGGATTGGGTAAACAGACTTCAGTATTGACTGAACTGGTATTTAGTGGCTTCTATCTTTTTGCCTCCTTATAGAAGAGTAAATATGGCATCCTTTTAATATCCTCTAATTCCTAATTGGCTTGATGTGATAGCTTGTTAAGTACATGTATACACAGTTTATGAAATTTCACAAGATGGATATTGTTACTGCCCTTCATTGGAACTTTTTTTTTTTTACTGGGTAAAAAAAATCCATTAATTGTTGCATAAATTTGAAAGTGCACATTTAGTTTTATCCATTTGTTAAAAAACAAAACTAGCTCCTAAATCTCAATCTTTAATACAGTTCTTGATTTTGATCTGTTGTGAATTTGTCAAGTACACATTTAACTTGGTATTCCATATTTGTAATCAGATTGAAAGGTAATGTCCAGCATTAGAATAACTTCATTATTATGATGAGTAAACCCTCTTGGTCCGTGTTTATGATCTAAATGATTCTGCTAAAGAGGTCTGACTCTTAAAACTACGTTTGAAGAGGATAAATTTTTATGCACATGTTGTAGTGGAAAATGTTTCTATTGCAGGAGCTGGTGTGGCTTCCATGTCAACAGGACTTTTGTGGAAGGTTTAAGAAATTGTGCTTCTATAGGTAAGTCCCCCTGTTTATATAATTTTATATGATCTCCCCCCTATAATATCTAAGGTGATGAGTAAATCCTCTTGGTCCGTGTTTATGATTTAATGATTCTGCTAAAGAGGTCTGATAACAACTTGAAGGAAAAAGGCAATTGATGTTATTCATAATTAGTTATTAATTTTAATTTTTCTTTGCAGGAAAATGTCCTGATCTTGCTATCCAGTTTTGAAGGATATTTATTTTGGTAAGTTTCTTTTGTCATTGTATTAGTCTAAAAGTGAATATTTTACTGATTATTATTGTATTAGATCCCTCATTTTAAAATTCTTAAGAGTATTTTTTCTATATATCCAGTCTTTTCTCGAATGTAAAATTTGGTGAAGTAGCCTAAATGTACTTGAGATTCCTTCTTATTTCATTTGTTTGAATATAGTTATCTTTTAATATGCAAGTCGCGTTCTGTATCTCCAAGTTAACATCCTTGTTTCTTTGGTCGTAAGGACGCTAGATCAAAATCCAGGCTACTTATCGTTGGAGATTAGCTCCTTAGCTGGTCTTCAGGTTTATGCCGGAACATTTGATCATGCACATTCATAGCTAGTCATAGACTCTGAATTTCATGTTAAATAATGGCTTATTTCACTCTTTTTCAGGCTTTCGGTTGCCAGGCTGATATTGGTCAGTGAATATGAATATGGCTTTGAAGGTAAATATTGCTTTTGTGCTAGATATACTTCTAAATTATTAGTGTTTAGATTGTAACACATTATGTACAGGATGAAAACCTTTTTATTCAGAGCATTGGGTTATGAAAACCATGATTACTTTTTGACACCTGAATATTCTTTTTAGTAATTATCTCTTGGAATTTGGCAAAATTTTAAGCATTTTGTATTTTTTCAGATGGGACAAAAGGAAATGTGCAAGCAGGATGGGCATATCTTTAAAATAAAAGGTATGATCTTGTTGATATGGAAACAGATTATATTAATAACTTGCTACATACAAAAATCAAGATTGATTTAATAAATGTAATTCTTTCAAGGTGAATTTGTGAAGCTGCATTTATGATGAGTAAATCCTCTTGGTCCGTGTTTATGATATCTATGATTCTGTTAAGAGGTCTGACTGTTGTCAAAAGCTATTAAGATTGCAAAGTTTTATGCATGTATTCTAATAAAATTTTATCTTGCAGGAAGCTTGTGAGGTTTCAAGGCTACCAACATGACCTGCTTGAAAGATGTCCAGGGCTTGTGGCCATATTGGTAAGTTGCCACTAATGGCTATATTTTGGTTCTTTTCTAAAGTGATGAGTAAATCCTCTTGGTCCGTGTTTATGATCTAAATGATTCTGTTAAGAGGTCTGAAATTTAAGAAATGTATACTCTATATTTTGCTGATAATTGATTATTAATGAATTGCCTTATCTTTCACAGAAGCACACGGCTTGTCAGGATGTGAAGTTTTAGATTTGCCTTTGGTAAGTTTGCCAAAACTAATATACAAAGTCTTCTTGAATAGTCTTATTTATGAAGTTCATAATTTTACTGTGCTTAAAGCCATTTAATATTGTATACACTAAAGTTGCCATATTGTGAATTGTGAAATTAAGTAGTGTATACTTCGTGACAAAGCTAAGTATACATATTTAAATTTGTATATAGAAGCAGCTACATGTTTTTTGGCGTTCTGTATCTCCAAGTTAACATCATTGTTTCTTTGGTCGTAAGGACGCTAGATCAAAATCCAGGCTACTTATCGTTGGAGATTAGTTCCTTGGCTGGTCTTCAGGTTTATGCCGGAACACTTTGATCAAGCATCTTCTTGCCAGTCTTGACATTGAATTGCACATTAAAAGAACTTGGAATAATTTATTTTCCAGGTATTTGGAGAGCACTGGCTGATGGTATTGACCAGTGACCATGACCTTAAGTTAAAGGTAAGACCTCGTTTTTGTATTGGATATAAACTTGGATTTCCATGAGAATGTAGATTATGGCACATTGTATACAGGATGAAAACCTTTTTTCAGAGCATTGGGTTATGAAAACCATGATTACGTCTTGACATCTGACAGCAGAGCTGGCATCACTCAACCTTTTAAAAAAGTGGTTCCAGGTAGGATTTTTTTCTTTTCATTCTACCCCAAAAAATTTCACATGATGAAAAACCTTTTTTCAGAGCATTGGGTTATGATAACCATGATTACTATTTTGACACCTGAAAACATGAAATAGAAATCAATTGCAACATCTAGGAAAATTTCTAATGTTCAATTTTTTTTTTTTCTTCAGGATGACCCAGAAGTAACTTGAGTTACCACCAGAGATTGCAAATAAACATTGATCTGACTATGAATTTATCTCGTCCTTTTTACATGTATAGGAAATTTGTAAGGATCATTACTTCGGAAAGATCCTAAATGTTCTTCAAGAGTAAAAAACCTCTTGGAATTACTTTAAAATGGAACTAAGATAACCACAGAGGTGGTGGTGTAATATTTAATGCTGATTTTGTCAAAAAATGTAATGGAATTTACTTGTATGTTGCTGCGGGGTTAAGTCACTGCACTTGTCATTAAAAGAAATTTGCCATGTTGGGTTAATCCTAAAGGAAAGTTGGTGTAACCAACTTTACTGAAAAAGGCCGAGGCCATCCGCACCAGTCAAGCTTGGCCGAAATCTTGCTGGGTCTCAATGGATGTTGGAGAGCAGTGTTCACAGGCTTACCGGCAGTAAAGGTCTTCGGCATTTGGCTCGATGCAGCTTACCTAGAAAACGGGAGTGGCAGCTGACTTGTTAAATAACTTAGTGCTCCAATCAAAAAGGGCATTTAGAGGTGGGTTAAAGTTGATTCCCAGCCATTCGAGAGCTTTAGACACCAGGCCAAAGTTACTAAAGCAAAGGTTCAGTCATGTGGGGAAGGCTGTCAAGCGGACTGAGGGCAACAAGACTTGATAATGCCAAACTTGAAGTTCTTCAAATAGGGAAGGGGAGAAAGTTTAGTTCAAAAGCTGACTTCTTAGACCGTACAGTTTGATGAATGTACCCTTCATCAAACTGTACTGTCTAAAAATGACTCCGGCTAAGAAAAGTCCGCTTGACCTTTTTCGTCCGTGTAAAGGGGCAGATCAAATCTGAATCAATGCACCGCAACGCCTTGCTTGTCGTGGGCAAGCTTTTCCTTCACTTTATCCCCTTCTGTCCACTTATCCTAATCGTACCCCCCCAATCCCTTGCCCGTTGTTGTCGTGGGGGGGCCTTATTAGATCGGAGACTGGGACCCCCTGAATGGGGAACTCCCGCAACTTGGGACGCAGCCCTCGCTCGACTAATTATGCATGGTCTTTTTTTCTCTTCCACTTTTGTTTTCTGTCCCCTTCATCCAAAACCCTTGTCTTCTATCCCCTCCTACGGTGTGAGAGCCGTGCTGAATGATGAACGGCTGACTTTTGTGGCCAGTCCTGAACGGCCTGAGGGAGCCATGGGCACGGTATTCACCGCTGATTTATGTTATCTAGAGCCCTTACCCCTCAAGGACCCTGAGGGGTGGACTTGCTTTTATCCCCCATATCCAGGCTTCCCATGCCAGTAATAAAATATCCCCACTGTTAGGGGCAATGAGAGCTTGCCCTTTACAAATAGCCCAACGAAGTAAACCCACCCGTTCCCCGACCCCAGCTCTCTTTGACCACGGCTCCGAACACTGCAATAATTAACCCCTTCACCATGCCTACTAGTACAGTTCCCAACAATCACACTCAAGAACGTTCCAATCTCACACATGCCACAACTTCAACAACCTCTACCCCCCCAACCTCCAACATCACACCCCATCCTCCTTATTAGTACCTTACAGCCTTAAGCCAACCTCTCCATAACACTCCTCATAACCTACTCCATCTTCGTCACGCCCTCGCCCCTTCACCACCCTATTCTCTAAAACAATCTTGAATACTTCTCTTTCGTGCAGCCAAATGGACCCCAGATTTTTCGATGATCCTCCCCCACCCCTACTCTGAGCACACCCTTCTCTTCCAACAATGCCTCAAACAAGTTAGGTAAAGTCTCTTCCCGTAGCCGATCCGACCGGGGGGGGGAAGCTCCCGTCTTTGTAACAGTTAAATCCGAAACCAGCCATAGCATTAACAAAACTTACCTATATGGTAACCCCCCTCCACCCTCAATACTTGCACCGACAGTCTCAATCTCACCAACAATTGCCCCTATCTATGACAAAGATTGGTCAGATTGTGGAGAAATCTACTTGCCTGTCTCACAGACTAGTGCAACATCAGTACAATGCTATTCCCATCCCCCCCAGAGGTCTCGATAAGGAAACCCACTATCAGTAGCAAATTACCTTCCGTAGACTGACCTTCCTTTACGTCTACATGGAGGAAATCCCTCCCTTTTCGTCCATACAACCTCCTCCACGTCATGGCAAATTGTTGCGTTAGGACACCCAGCCAACACTGGCTGCCACGTTCCACAGCCAGATCCCTTATGTCCCAACCTGGCGATAACCGATCTAACTGCTCTGTCACAATCACGCACATGTGGCACTGTGGCGGCCCCCATAATTGTATTTTATAGGGGCTGTCCCACCTACAAATTTAATCTAAGGTAAGCACCTCTCAAATTCAAACTTGGACTCACCTGCTGAAGCCAGACGGAAGCACGTCGACGGATTCATCTTAACTCCTTACTCCAGTAATACTGCTCTTCTAACACTTCTCCTAACCCCCCCTCCTACTCTAACCCCCCACTAACACCCACCTACCTTCCCCCGTCAAACTCTTTTTTGCTATCCTAAATCCAGAAACTCCATCTCTACTACAGATACTCCAGTGCACCACTAACACCCACACCTCCCCTCTTCCCTCCTTTCACTCCCCGTAACAGACAGAACAAACGTTCCACCCCTTTCTCCCCTATCACCATCACACCCACCATCTTATGCCCGTACTCTTGAGCACCAGCCTCTCTTTCCCCCCTCACAAGAAATCCTTTATCCCCCAAAACTCCCCACCAACTCCACAGAAGTAACTCTTGAAAATATTCACCAGATTACCTTAATGCAAACCGACACTCAACCTACAATCTCCGCTCTTCCACACTCCAATTAATTGCTGATATCCTCCTCCTCCTAACTCCTATATCCCCCCTACACCCTACCCTCCTACCCCTCCCACACAGCCCATCCCCCTGACCCCCAACCCTGCCCACATATCCTCCCACCATCCCCTCTTCCCTTTCCACTCCCTACTGGATACACACGTGAATCCCTTATTTCACAGTTATCCCTTTTTTTTCCCTCAGACCCTCCATCTCCTAATCACCACCCCTCCTGATGAACACCGAACTCCCACACCCTCCATCTCAAACCTCTCAGTCCTGATCCCACCCATCTAGCTGCTTCCCCTTCAAATTCTCCAACACGTACTACAATCTATATCACTAAATCCACCGACTATAACTATCCTTTCCTTGGATATTCGCGGTTTCCGCTCCCTACAGAACTGACCATGCATATCCTTTCCTCCTTATACCCATCTATTGTATGCCTTCAAGAAACCTTTTCTTATCATACCCTTTATATCTAATAGAACCCCGACCTACCCTTATCACTCACTATTCCTTTGCCCAGCTTAGCACTAATCAACTAACTCAACCCACTTCCACTAACATTAACTATATGCTACATGAACTTGATGCTAAGCACATTTTATCGTGCGTTTAACCATTCACACATTAACCATTAATCCTAATCGTTAACCCCGGTTTACACCCCTTTGTCATGTTACTGTAAGACTGGCATACTTTTATTTTGATTGCAATTCTACAAGTCCACAAATATCAGCTTATGACCAAACAATTCTTACCGGGGCTTCGCCTCACCTATCGTTTATATTTTGAATACGCCGCTGATTACCTTAGATGTTGATACGTGCAGAAATTTTCATTAATTAAAGCTTGTAGTGGATGATTGAATTTGTGTGCACATCCCACTGAATCGGTTCACTTGTATAGTAAATGGAAAATGTCAGCAAGCGATGACCTCCTTCCCAAGAAGGAACTTACAAACGAATAAAGTGCACCAGCTTTTAAAGGAACTCCTGAAAGAGGTAAGGTTCACATGTGTAGGTCTGAAGAGGTCAAATCGAAAGATATGTACAAGGACAAATTAGCTATGATTTTAAAGAGCCATGGGCAACACCGAGGTCGGTAACGGAAACGTTCTCGAAGTATGTCGCAAGTGGCTGTCTGCTTCCTTGGGGTCGGTGGAAGTATCTGTGGGCGCTAATAAATTTAGTTTTCTATATAGAATTTAATTTAATATACACGATTAACATTCTTAAAAAAAAAAAAAAAAAATGGAACCTTGCCTTCGACCAGTGGTTCCAACCTTTCCCCAAGGCTAGCGCTCCCTTTGGCCTTCACTTGGATTCCCTGGCTGTCTTCTCCCCTCATACACATATGCGAACAATCTTTTTTTGATATCTTCGTATGAGAAATAGATCAAATACAAAGACGCATTTCACAATTACACCCAATTTATTATACCTATTTAATCAGTTGTATCTGCCACCACTACCGCACCCCCGATCTTTCCACCGCCCCCTGGTAGCGGTAACTCCACATTGGAAACATTGCCTTAACACTTTTGATGGGCAAGGGGACAACTTCTCAGGGGCGTTTCCTCTGATGGTAGCGTGACGTCCATCTAAATGTAAGTGAACTGGGATTCAGCATCAATCTCATTATGGTCACGAACGAGACCCGCTAACTCGGTCGATGAAGTTCGAGCTGATGGAGGTCAGCGGGAGAGTAAGTGCTTCGAAAAAATTGTGGTCTGTCGTAACAGAGCAAGATGGCGGTCCAGATCCCAGGAGAGGAAATGGGCGCATAGGCACGTTTGCCAACAGCATACGACCACGGATAAACCATAGAAACGTGATGGGAAGAGTTGATAACCCTGACCTTTCAGAGGTTCGCCCCATGGAAAACACGATGCTGTTTCAGGAAAGTGGTCGCCATGAATCAGCAGTTCCTGGCTTTCTGCAGG